CGAGACGCGGCGAATGGGACAAGTACACTCGCGGCCCAGCGCAACACGCCCAAGGTGACAGACACACTGCGCGAGGCACAGGTGCCGCAGCTCGCTCGCGCGCTGAGCGACGGGGCGAAAGGTCCGCCGAGCGTCTCGTGCCTGCAGTGCTACGGCTCTGCTTGCGGCGCTGAGGTCATGGAGGATATGCCTGTGCGCGGCCGTGCACTCCAGCGTACGCAGCATTCGTGCTGCTCTCGCAAGCGCCGCTTGGAACTAGCTGCATGCGGCGAATTCACAATACCCACGCCTACGGGGTTTGGAACATCGTTGAGTGTGTCGCCGCAGCAGGATCTCCGGTTTCCTACACACTGCGGACCCACTTTCGGGCCCGGGGAGCTCGGGCGGTAAGCTGCCTGGCAGCACAGTCGGCACGCGTCGCCCCTCGACGCGTGCGAGGGCAACGTCCCTCTAAAAGCGTTATCGCACCCACCTGTCGAAATGTCTTTCTATGGATATGCGTTCTGCGGAACAAAAAAAAAGTGGCAATTTCCATCAAAAATCTATACACAGGTCGCAATTCTGCCCAATAGATATATACCCTTGGTAGACGGAAACAAGTACAGGGACAGAGATCCGGACAGAGTGGAATGGAGGGGACCCCGCGCTGACACCCAAGTAGGGTGCGAGGCCGAGGGGGTGGAGGTCCGGTCGCCAGGGCAACTTTCTGATAATACCAGCCGCAGAAAAGCGTGAAAGACGGGCCTCCGTTGCGAGGTGACGCAAGTGGCGTGCTGTTCCTTGAGCGGCGGGCCATATGACGTTTGCCCTATTCTCGAGGCCCAGCTTATGCCGACGCTGTTGCCATTCCCCATCCGGTTTGTCCCTAAGCTGGATAGTCTCCGAGCATTTCGAACTTGCATCCCCAGACTTTGACCCAATTTTTTACCTGCAGCGTTCCTTCCGATCACGTTCCGCTAGTCCACGTGATTCCGTCCTCCGCGGATTGTGCGTTTGGTGCATGACGTGCTCCTATCTGCGCCGGCGTGCGACGGTGTGAAAAGGGGCCGCGGGGCGCGGCGGGAAGAGGGACCGCGGGGCGCGGCGGGAAGAGGGCGGCGGGGGGAAGCCGCGCGTGACGAGCATCTCTCGCGCGTTCCTGAACCAGCTCCGGCCCAGTCAAGCCACGTGGCCGTCCTTTTTCCCCGCGCTGGGCGCCCACGCGCTCTCCACGCGCCTCCACGCGCCTCCACGCGCACGCATCTTACGCGCTCACATCCTTTGCGCGCCGCCCTCCCGATGGACTCGACATAGTGAGCGTTGCACGCATCCCAGACCCCCTGACTCTTTGACAGCGAGGAAGAGCGCCGAGCGAATATTGCAGAGAATGAACGCCTTCTGCAGGAGCTTGGCCTCGCTGGCGGGAGCAGCACGGTTCTCGGCGTGCCGCAGCCGAAGCGTCCGCCCGCGCCGCGCCGATCGGAAGGCGCACGAAAGCGCGTCGCGCGCGATCCGCCGCCACCGCACCGAGTGAGCGCGCGGCTGCTTGGTGTGAAGACGGAGGCCCAGGGAAGTCCCACTCCGGCGCCAGCGACACCCACCGCGGCAGTCGAGCCGCCGCCGCTGCGCGTGCGCCACGGCACCCTAGACACGGATGTCCTTGTGGGTGACATGGAGGAGGAGGAGAAGAAGCGGCTGCGCGTGGCGGTGGCCATCGACCGTGGCAACGCGCCGTCACCGCCGCCGCCGCCGCCGCAGTCAGATTTCACCGCGCTGCTCCAGAACATGCAGCTCCGGAGCCACGCGCGCGTCGCGCAGAAACGCATCTACAGCATGTTGTTTCACCCGACGCTCCACAAGGATCTTGTCTTTGTTGGCGACCAGACGGGGGCCGTCGGCGTCTGGGATGCGCTTGCGCCGTCGTCCGCCGCCGACGACGCTTTGCCGGAGGGTGCGTCGTTCCCATTGCAGCTCTTCGCGCGCTCGGCGGTGGGGTGCATGCGCATGGACCCGACCTCAGACGACCATGTCTATGCGAGCTCCTACGATGGCAGCATCCGACGTTTGTCTCTCTCTGCGCTGCGCAGCGACGAGGTCTGGGACGGCGGCGACGAAGAGGTGCAGTTGAGCGAGTTTGCGTTCCTCGCGCCGCAGCTCCACGCGGGCGCGGCGACGCCAACGCCCCGCCCGCAGCTCGACGAGCGCAGCATGTGGGCGGCGGACCACCGCGGTGGCCTTCTGCATCTTGACGTCCGCGCCAAGGGCGCGTCCGCGCGCCGCTGGCAGGTGAGCGACAAGAAGGTGTGTGCCGGCACTTCTTTGCTAACGCTGAGGTCGGCAGCATCGCGCTGAACAGCGCGGCACCGCACTGCGTTGCGACAGCGTCGAACGACCGGTCTATTCGTCTGTTTGACGTCCGCATGCTGCGTGCGGTGCCGACATGCAGCGCGCCTGCGAAGGGCGATGTCGTCGACATGGACGCCGTCGACGCGCTGCACGCGCATGCCGGACTCAGTGCGTACGAGCGCCGGATGGCATGTACGAGTGTGGATTTCTCCCCGCGGGGCGACTATCTGGGTATGTTGGATGGCGCTGGACGTTCCAGCGGGCGCTAACGAGCAGCGGGCGTCTCATACGACGACACCATCTCACGTACGTGGCACGGTGGCACCATGCAGTGGCCCCGCCTCGCGCTCGCACGCGCTTACCGCAGTTTGGGAGCTGCATCCCGCGTGGCTTCACAAGGAGGAACACTTGCCGATGGGTGCCGAAACGCACGTGGAGGCGCACAGTGCGGCGGGCACCGACGAGCATGGGGAAGGCGGCACACCGGCCGGCGCCGGAGTGCAGGGGCACGATGCCCCGAGCGTCGCGCGGCGCGCAGAGGACGGGGGGCGCCGCGGCAGACGCGGCAGTGACCCGGACGGCCGAGGCGCAGACGACGCAAGGGGCGGAAAACGCCGCGCATCCAGCAGGAAGACAGCGGCCAGAGACACGGCGTCCCGCAGTTGCCCGACAGACAACCACGCCGTGCCGAACGCACTCACACGGTGGCTCCGCACGCGCGAAACCTCCTCCGCGACCCCGGCCCCGGCACCGGACAAGATACCCCGCGCCCCGCCGCCTCCCCCGTCTCGTCCCCGTCCCGCTGACGTGCTCCGCGACCCACGCATCATCTCCCACAACAACCAGACGGGGCGCTGGGTCACCCTCTTCCGAGCCACGTGGAACACAAACACGGGGTTGGAGCCGCACTTTGCGATCGGAAGCATGTCGCGACATATCGAGCTGTACGCGAAAGACGGGCGCCGTCTCGCGTCTCTGTACGACGCGGAGTGGGTCACAGCGGTTCCCGCTGTGATTGCGATGCATCCCGTGGCGCCTGCGCGCCTCGCCTCGGGGAATGGGTCCGGACGGTGTGCGCTGTGGGCGTCCCCCGCGCCCGGCTAGTGGAGACAGGTCGTCGGAGGTGCCGGGTGGGTCCATACGCGCGCTCACACGTGCCGGATGGGTCCATACGCGCACTCACACGTACCAGCCCCGGTCACTTGCCGTCACGCCCTGGGCATCCCCGCCAACGACAAACGGGGTGTTGTACAATACATTGGCCGGCAGCACAGACTGGACGAGTGCAGGCATCGGCGCCATCACCGCGTACAGCGGGTCGTAGTATGCGTACGTCATCACGTACTCCGCGCGGTGCTCTGCGACTCGGACGCCCACCGCTGCAATGCCCACCAACAGCGCGACGACGGCAACGAGTGGCCATGCGCGCTCAAACAACGGGCGCCCCGCACGCCTCGTGGCAGCTCCGGCATGCGTCTCCGGCGTGCTGTCGTGTTTCAGCGAGCCGCCCTCGTCCGTGTCCACGAGCCGCGGCGCCAGCGTTCCGAGCCGCGCGCGAATGGCGTCAAGCCGCTCCGCGTAGTGCGCGTCCACACCGCTGATCTTTTCCAAGCTCACGTCTCTCTGCAGCACGGACGCCAGGGCCTCGGTCCCCACCAGTGCCTGCGAGTGCACGGTTGTGTCGGACGGAGCGTCTGCGGACAAGACGTCCCGGATGTTCGCCAGGGTGTCCTCTCCCGACGGCTGCTTCAGCGCCTGCTTCAGCAGCTGAAGTGTGGTCCATACCGCCTCGTCTTGGTGAGCGCCGGATGGTGCCGCAGAATCGCGGCGTGCGGCTGCGGCTTTGCGAGGGTGGGGGGTCTTTGCGTCGTCGGCGACCGTGTCCACTTCGTCCGCGTCCTGTCTCTTTTCCTCCGCGCCCTGCCTGTTTTCCTCCGCCCCGAGCCGGTCCCACTCGATCGTAATCCCATCGCCAACTGTCGACGCATCGGGCACCTCCGCGAGCGGCGTCCATGGCGCTGGAGAGTCGACGTGGTCTATAGTAGATGCGCGGCGGGGATATTGGGAAGACTCCATTGGGGGTGTACCCATGCTGACGCTGTGGCGATCACGCGGTGGTGAGTAGGGTGGCGATGTGGAAACACTGGCGCCCCTCCGGTCGGCGTGCGGGAGGATTCCACCTTCAAGCAGCGAGACGTCTGCCGCAGACGCCTCTGGCGAAGGTCGCGCGTCCTCGGCATCGCCGCCTCTGCCCTCGGGTTCCTCCCGAGACGACTCCGTGCCGGTCGACCCCGATGTAGGCCCCCGCGTCCGGAGCCCCTGCGCAAGGGATATGCGGCCCTCGCTCCAGCGCTCGCGCCGTTTCCGTCGTGCGATTTCCAGGCGCGTCTGCTCGCGGGACTCCTCTTCAAGCACGCGCTCGAAGACCTCCGTCAGGCTAAGGCGTGGTGGTCGTGGCGCGTGCCGGTCTGGCGCATGCGCCCGGTACTTCTCCCCGTCGTGGGTGTGTGCGTGCACGTCGGTCCCCTCCCCCGCGTCTTCCGCCGCCGACACGGGCGGCGAACGAGACGCCATGGTGGCAACAGCGTGTTTGGTCACGAAGCGCCCGCATTCGTACCACTGCGCATGGGCAGTGAGGAATATGGGGGCTCGCCCCGAACCGCCCCCCAGCAAATGGTCCTGTAGGATAACGGTCAGTCCGAAGGTTTCTGATTGGGGTTCATTCCCATTGGCATTCCTTAAGCCGCGGTTCGACTCCGCGCAGGACCTACGTTTTTGATGGGAAGCAGATTTTTTTTTCCACTGTACCGTACGACGCCCCGTGGTAAGAAAAAAGGAAAAATGCGCCCAGTTGGCCGTCATCTGGTCCTGTAGGATAACGGTCAGTCCGAAGGTTTCTGATGCGGGCTTGGCCTACTGGAATTCCTTAAGCCGCGGTTCGACTCCGCGCAGGACCTTTTTGCGTTGCGCTGCCCCGCCAGGAGCGCGTCAGGAGGCTGGTGGTTGTGTGTCGTACGAACGGGGTTATTTGGTCTACATTACAGGTGGATTATGTGCATCACGCATGGGGGTAACGCTGCACTGCCCTCGCTCTCCCAAGCTCGTTGCGCGGGGGGGCAACACCATGTTACCCTTTCACTCCCAGTCTTCTCGCGCGGCGAAACCCACTTTCTTCCTCTTCTCCCCCCCCTTGGCCTCCCTACCCCCCCGCCTCAGCTCTCCCCCCCCGCCTTTGCTGGCTCGTCGACCCAGCCGCCAGACAAATCTGGCGGGAGCTCTTCCATTTGCACACTTGGGGCGCCGTGGAGGTATCGAAGCTGCTCCAGAATCTGCACGCGGAGGCGCTCCAGGCTCGACCGCGAGTTCTGGTTTTCCACGCGGGCGAGGAGCGGCTCATGCAGGCGGTGTGTCGGGGCAAAGAAAGCATCATACGGGGTGCGGGGGAGGTCGTCTGGCACCTGCGTGCCGGTCAGGACCGATGTCTCGTAGGTCCAGCAGCGCGCGACATTGCGGATCGTGTAGCCACCGCCGCCGAGGACGAGGAGAGGAAGTCCAAATGCCTTCGTAAATGCGACGCACTCGCCGTGCGCGGCGATGCTCAGATTGAACACACCGAGCCGGTCGAGGCCAAGCGAGTCTGCGCCGCACTGCAGCACAATCGCGCTCGGACGGAAGGTAGTGATGCACGGATCGATGATACCCTTGAAGAGCGCCACGTAGGCACTGTCGTCGATGCCGTCCTGGAGCGGGACGTTGAGACAGAAGTGCTTCCCGAGGCCCACACCGACCTCGCCAATGTCGCCGGTGCACGGGAAAAACCCGTTGCCATACTTATGGAACGACACGGTCATCACGCGGTTCGACGTGTAGAACGCCTCCTGGACCCCGTCGCCGTGGTGGATGTCAATGTCGATGTACAGCACGCGCGAAAAGGTGCGCAGCAGATCGAGAATGGCCAGCACAATGTCGTTGATGTAGCAGAATCCACTCGCCTCCGCCTTCTTCGCATGGTGCAGGCCGCCGGTCCAGTTGATCGCGATATCCGTCGTCCCCACCGCGAGCCGGCGCGCGGCGGCAAGCGACGCACCCGTGTACGTGCGGCAGAAGTCAAACAGACCGTCGAACACGGGGCAGTCTTCTGCAAAGTTGAACCGCGAGAACGCCGCGGAGAACGGCGTCGTCGGCTTCACGCTGCCGCGTCAGCGGGCCGCCGCACAGACACGCACGTGCTGAGGAAATCGACATAGTCGCTGTCGTGGAACGCCTCGAGCTCCTCGCGCGTCGCCCAGCGCGGCGAGTACATCTTCATGTACTCGTGGAGCCCGTAGCCGTGGACCAGCCGGTTCGTCAGCGCCAAACGCGCGGGCTTCATGGGGTGCCGCTCGCCGTAGTGCTGCCGGTCAGCCACCGTGCGAAATGCCGCACGCACATAGTCGGACACGCCGACAGGAAAGTAGTACGACACATGCGGGTTCGAGTGCGGCTGCAGGTTGGCCGCGCGTGGCGTCGACGTACCTGCGTCGTCTTCGCATCCGCGAGGAGCGCACCCGGCGTGAGGTCAATGCTCCCGTCGTTGTGCACGAGGCTCCGGTCGTAGAAAAACGGCGCGCGCGAGAACGTCGGGAGCAGCGGCACCGGCGCGTATCCGGACGCCTCGTAGTCGAGCAGGACCATCGTCCTGGGACACTCTCCTGCGCGACGCGCGCCGCGGCACCTTTTCGGCGGCGCACGTGACCGACACGGTCGGCCGTGCCGGTGCGACGGCTGGCGTCCGCCTGGCGCCAGGCACCACGCGTCTCCACTACGATGCGGGTCGCGTCGCGGACGCGTGCCGGACCCACCGCGCTTGTCATGGGGATGCTGGTGACGGGCGTGTGCAATTCGATCTTGTCGAAATGGTGCGTGCGTGTGCCGCCCGCTCTAACCCTAGGCAGGACATGCAGTGTGTGGCGAACTGCGCGCCCGGCAGTATCGGCGAGCGTGTGTCGTACTCGCAGCCGGTGTGGCAGGTGCGTGCAGCGACGCGCATCGCTCACGCACAGACGCTGCAGATGTTCGCCGGCGAGTGCCTCTGCCTCGTCGCGTACCTGGTCCACGCGCTGCATCACCGTCGCGCCGCGCGGCGCACAGGCAAGACGACCGCGGAGGCGGACGCACTGCTCGTGCGCGACGCGGCGACGCCCACGTACGGGACCGCGTCCGCGTCCGCCGCCGACGGTGCGCCACGCGCGCCGCCGGCGCCCCTCCCCCCGCGGCATGCGCGCAGCGCGGCACCGACGCGCGCGCTGCTCCTGTTTATTGTGCCGGCGACGTGCGACATCTGCGCGACGACGCTGACGAATACGGCGCTGATCATGATGCCTGTCAGCATCAACCAGTGCGTCACGGGCGCCATCTGCTTACACCCAGGATGACGCGCGGCGCGCTTGTCCTCTGGGTCGGTCTGTTTAGCGTGCTCTTCCTGCATCGCCGCTTCGTGCTGTACCAGTGGGTCAGTCTCCTGCTCGTCATGGGCGGCGTCTGCGTGGTCGGTGCGAGTTCCCTGCTGGTGCGTCCCGCGCTGGGGATGGACGTGCTCGTGCGCGCGACGGGCGCGCGCAATGCGGCGTCAGCGATGGGCACGCTCCTCGGCCTCGGCCTGGTCGTCCTGGCGCAGGTCGCCGCGGCGCTCCAGTTCGTTTGGGAGGAGAAGTTCATGGCCGTCCACGACATCGACCCGCCGCTGGCTGTCGGCATCGAGGGCGTGTTCGGCGCGCTCATCGTCCTTGCCGCGATGCCCGTTCTGCACGTCTTCGTCGGGTCGACGCCGGAGGGGCGCGGGGGATACTTCGACATGCGCACGGGCTGGCACCAGCTCGTCGGGACGCCGAGCGTGCTATGGGCCTCCGTCGCGTGTGCACTTTCCATCGCTGGGTACAATATGCTCGGCCTCACCGTGACGCGGACGATGAGCGCGACGGCCCGCAGCACTATCGATACGCTGCGCACGCTCGGCATCTGCGCGGTGAGCCTGTATTTGGTATGCCGGTGACTGCGCGCGGGCCAGCTGACCGCAGGGATGGGAGGTCCTGCAACCACTGAGCGCCCTGGTCCAGGCGGCCGGCTTCGCGATGCTTGTGTACGGCACGTTCTTGTTCAACGGTGTGGTGCGGCCGCCCGGTTGTCTTGTGGAGCGGGAGGAGGATGCCGAGCGTTTCAACGGGGCGGGGGGTGAGGATGCCGCCGCGCCGCCGTCGCCTTGGGGCGCCCCTGCTGCGGAGCTCTGATCGGCCGTCGATGCGCCGGCAAGGCGCCCCATTCCGCATGCCACTAGTACAACGAAATTGCCTTCTACAGAATGTTTATCAGAAGGGCGATACAGCAGGGAATGGCGTGCCGCTGGCGGCGTCCCCGAGCGCCGCGGGGAACGACGCACCCCCCGCAGACAACAGCATACCACACGTCCGCACGACACACCAACTGCGCGAGGCGCTGCGCCACGCCCGCACGTCGCTCACTCATTGCCAAAGCGCATGCCCTCCTCAATGGCGAGGACAAGCTTGTTCTCAAGGACCTCCTTGGACGGGTACGGGGGGAGGTCGATGCGGTTGAAACACGTGTGCGACTTCGGCAGCTGGTTCACCTCGCCGGACTTCTCGATGGTGAAGCGCCGCGGCCCGTCGGAGCCCTGGAGGTCCTTGAACCCATTCACGGGGATACGAGAGGTGCCCGTCGCGAACTGGAGGAGACGCGAGCGCTGCTCCGCGGGCCAGTTCTGCACACACTGCCAGAACCACTGCACGACGTCGTCCTGCTCGCTGAAGCCCCGGTAGTCCGTGTACCGCTTCCAGTCGTCGCTGCCGGTGAGTAGAGGGCGGGGACACACATACACATCAATCTCGGACATGCCGCCCATGAGCAGCTCGAGCTCGCGCTCGTCAAAGACATTGATCAGGTCCAGCGGGATGAGCTCCGAGAAGCCAGAGATGAACGCGCGGAACTGCTCCTCGACGCGCCGCACGATGCGCCACTCGATCATGCGCTCGACATACTCGCGCTTGTTGTCGTCGTTCACCTCGACCTCCTCGCCGCCGGGCTTCAGCTCGACGGTGATCATCTCGCCGAACTTGTCCTCCATCGCACTGAACGTCTCTTCCATGATCCCCTCGATCGGGTTGTCGAGCATCCACTGCAGCGAGCGGTGGTAGTCCGCGTCGACGGACTCCATGTCGGTGAGGTTGATCTTCTTCTTCAGGATCATCTTGTAGAAGGACACGATGAAGTGCGCGTCCAGGAAGCGCCGGTGGAAGATCGCCAGGCCGAGCACGCGCCCGATGAACTTGAAGTAGTTCAAGTGTTCCGGGTTGATCCCCGAGTGCGGGTTGATCTGCAGCGTGTAGTTGTCGTGCGCACTGTACTCGAACAGACAGTAGAACGGATTGAACATCTCGTGCGAGAGGAGGAAGAAGAACTCGCGCGACACGCCGCCGTAGTCCAGCGCGTCCTCGCCCTCGAACTTGATCATCAGCCGCTTCTTCAGGTCGTTCGGCTGCTGCCGCATGATCTCCGCGTACGAGTCCTCGAAGATATGCGTGCGCCGCACCTTCACGTGGCACTGTCCCGGGATTGGACGGAGCGCCGGCTGCGAGCGGAAGTAGATCAGCTTCCGCCGGAAGTCGCGCTTGTACTGCGGCACGTTCTGATCCAGGCTCGACGGCAGCCGCGGATCGTCCCACGTCGTCGTCTTCGTGTTGTGGTCCACAAAGTACACGCGCGCGGTAGACGTGAGCCGCATCTCCCAGCCACTCGGCAGCGGCCCGAGCTGCGACACGCTCTGTGGCTGCAGGCTCAAGTTGTTCCCGTTCGGGCCCATGATCCGCAGGATCTGCTGCCGCCGTGGGTCGACCCACGTCGTCGTGCGCGTGTTGTGATCCACAAAGTACGGGCGCCCCTCTGCCGTGGTGCGCTGCTCCCAACC